ATATGACACCACAGAGAACTTATCATCTTCAGAGGCATCATCACAAACAGCAACTGGAAAATATGGTACAATCCACCTTTTTTATTCTAGAACTGAAAATACAATCATAAATAGTGTCGTGAAAATCGGCCTAGGGAGACCCCCAGGTGCCCTGAGAAACCAAAACCTGGCTGGGCCATCATTTCATAAATCAAAATGTTAATATAAAAAGTTTGGCTGGTCTGCCTTATAATGGGGATTATTCTTTCATTTCAATACTTAATTGTATGTTTTAACCATTTTGTTTTGGTGTAGCTTGTTTTTATGTACCATTTTTGCCGTACATCACTGTCTACAGGACAAGTGTTAGCCCCTAATAACTGTTTCCCTTTCTTATAAATTTTGTTTGTACTTATATGTCGAATTCTGATAGGTGAGCAAAGTGGTCCTCCCGGTTCAGACCCTATAGCCATGATGGAATACTACATGAAGAAGGCCGCACAAGAAGAGAAACGGAGGCCTCCAAAACACTCAAAGGATGAGATGCCCCCACCTGCTTCACTTCATGGTTAACAATATTTTTATTTTTTCTAGTATTTAATTTCTGTTTGCGCCTATTCTTTTTCTGGAATTGTATCCAACATCGACCAGAAAAATACTTACTGGTCTCCCTGATTAATAATAAGTATGTTATTTCTTATTGCTTTGAACAGCTCATTCGAAGAAAGGGCACCACATGGGCGATTATATTCCTCCCGAAGAACTAGAAAAGTTCTTGGCCACCTGTAACGATGTATCTGCACAAAAGTTTGCAAAGGAAGCTGCCGAGAAAACAAAAATCCAGGCTGATAATGTTGGCCACAAACTTCTATCTAAAATGGGTTGGAAAGAAGGTAAAATAGAGAGCTGGTTATACTATGAAGTCTTCCTTTTAGTTGTAGTGTTTCCTTTTTTTCGCATGATCAATACCCGAACTGGTTATTGACAAAGCCATTTCCAACAATATTTATGAGAGTGTTGCTTTCATTTTGGAAATTGAACAAATTTATATATCATTTGAAGACTTGAGAGTTTACAAATTGCAGGGGAGGGCCTGGGGAGCTCGGGAAGTGGGATTTCGGCTCCCATTATGGCAGGCGACGTGAAAAAGGATCACTTGGGTGTGGGTGCGCATGCACCAGGCGAGGTTACTCCCGATGATGACATTTACGAGCAGTACAAAAAACGAATGATGCTCGGTTATCGTCACCGGCCGAATCCTTTGGTATGTATATGCACTCTTACTTTCTGCACTTGTTTCTAAATGAGGTTTTCTTCCCAGATTGCATTTCACAAGAAGCTGAATGAAGTGTAGTATCCTCAAGAACTAATCGAAAGGTTGCTATCTTATTTATATATAAATATTTGTTTATTTGGCAGAACAA